CGATTGATTAATTTTGTTCTATTAATTATTTTCATTGCGATGCATGTGTCTGTTCTATATGCATGTATGTGTGTGTGTGTGTGTGTATGTGTGTGTATGTGTGCGTGTGTGTGCGTATGTATGTGTGTGTATGTGTTTTTATGAATTTCTTCGATTGATTAATTTTGTTTTATTAATCGAAATTTTCTGTCCTCAATTTTTTTTCCTTTTTTGTTTCTTTTTTTTTTTGTTTATTGTTATAAATGTAAACAGAAATGCTTAATGTTCTAAAAAAAAAAAAAAAAAGAAGGAAAAAAGGCTTTATTTTGTGCAAATAAACATATTAAAATGATCATTCCAAGAAGTAAAAATATTGATGAAAATGCAATAAATAAATATTAAAATGGAAATGAATTTAAATAACAAAATAATTTAATTTGTGGTGTAACCTATTGAAAATTCATTCTTTGCAATGGAATTTCAACGATATGCTTTAAAAGAAAAATACAAGAAGTTGATTGAATTTAGAGGTCAATAAACGAAGAAATTCGAAATTCGAAATAAACAAAAAAAAAAAAACAAATAAATAATTCGAAATAGATCAATTTTCAAATTAAAATTTTACTGTCGCATTTTAATTAACAATTTACAATAGTTGTTAATTTGATGTTATAATATCAAATGTCCCGAAAAGCAGCAATGTTTCATTTTTTTTTTTTATTTGTAAATTGTTATATTATCCGACAGTAAGTTTTAATTAATATTTTCAGCTTCCAGGATTAAAGCAGACAATTCAAATAATTAGCTGGTTCCAGGTGCTATCATTAATCAATACATGCATATAACTAATTTGGACACTTCTTTGATAGCTAATGAAATAACAATTTAATATTAGTCTCTTTATTTTAATCCTATTTCCTCAATTTGGATAATAAATATACCATTTTCAAATATCAAATCTTCAGAAACGAAGTAAATGAAGAAAAATGACAAAAAGCAGGATGAAAATTTATTCTGTTGCAAAAGTTTTTTTTTTTTTGCTGAAATTTTAAATCTCTGGAAAATGACTCATACTGAAAAAAAAGGAATAAAAAATTGAATGAAATCCAAAATTTGCAAAATCTGAAGTAATCAATAAATTGTCTATAAAATCGTTGAAGCATTACAAATGTTATTTTTCAAAAAAAAATTCCGCACCATTGAGCTAAATTTAAAATTATGAAGCGCTAAAGATATTCCAACTTGTTACTTCTTAATTACTTCTTTATAATTTTTTATATAAGTAATCAAGCATACATTAATCGTTCAAAAAAATAACATTTAAAATTTTTAAAAATATTTTTTCTTAAACATATCCATTTAGTTGTGATAATTTTGTTTTCACTCTGAATTATTTGACTTTGTTTAAAATTAAATTTTCTTGAAAAATTTCAACTATTGGAGGAAAAATTAAAGAAAGAAGAAAAAGAAATGACAATTTTTCATCAATTGTATAAATTTGCATTTTTTTTTTTTTTTTTGATACAAATATCAAATAAATTGTTTATCATTTTTGAATTTTTTAAAATTTTATTATCAATATTGTGGTTAATAACCAAACGAATTTAATATTCTTTAGAAGGAAAATGCTTAATGGTGATTAATATGCAATTAGCTTAGAGCTAACAAACGATCATTTCATTGAAGGATGTGGATGAATTTTAAAAATTAAAATTTATGACAGAGACCATATAAGCTAGTTATAATAACATTCATAACTTTATAATATTCATAATGTTTTTGCTATATTTCATAAATTAAATTAAAAAAATTTAATTTTGAAATTTTGCCATACAAAAAAAAATATTATAACAGTCTGCACAATTCAATTAATCGATCCCTGAAACAGTTGTCGATCCAGAAAGTTGAGATAAATATGAGTGAGCATTTGGAGAATATCAAAGTGGAGCACAAAGATCGTTTAGCAACATAGAAGATTATTGGTTTTAATTGCAATGAAATTACGACATTCTTTTCAATTTGGTTTCAGATGAAAATGCTAAAGCGTAATTAAATTTCTGCACAATTGGATATTTCTTATATTTTGCATTTTTTTTTGAAAACTGGTTTTTTTTCTTTAATGTTGCAAAAGTTTTATATATATGTTCGATTTGTATTTAGTAATTCCTCATTTCATTAACTTTTATTATTATTATTACTATTATTATTATTGTTATTATTATTATTATTATTATTATTATTATTATTATTATTATTATTATTATTATTATTATTATTTATTATTATTATTATTATTATTATTATTATTATTATTATTATTATT